AATAATGTAACATATTATTAAAAATCAAAATCATATCATATATGTATTTGACAATTGTTTAAAAATATGTTTCAGATTTGTAAGTTATCAAAGGCAGATTAAATACCTTCTAGAATATTTGGATTACTAAATGCAATATGGATGTTGTGATATAATTACAAATTAAATTATTATAGTTTGACTAATTAAAATTTTCTTTAATTTATTTAGAATTAAAAAAAAGTTTTATATAGAATTTGTATTTCAAATTTTTAATAAGTTTATTTATTTTTTTTTGTGTAATAACTAAAAGAAAAATAGAGTTGTTTTTATTATATCAATATAATAGAAAAAAAGAATATTTGATTTTTACATAATCAAATAAAAAGTGTTTTATTGTATAGTTATTGTTTCTAAGCAATTGTACTTTTTTTTTAAATTCTTCTATAATATTGTTAACAAAAAAACAATTGATTAATTTAATTAGTAAGTCTTTAAATAAAAAGTAAAAGTATGACTTTAAAAATAAAAGATTAAAATAAAAATCTAAAAATTTATTTAAGATATAATAATGTTTTTAAATTTGTTAACATAATATTTAAGATTTGCAAGTTTATATCTTTTCAAGAATAGGAAAAGATAAGTAACTTTTGAGTTGAGATTCTTAAGTTTGCTGAAAAAATTTGATTTACTAATAAAATAAGTAGTAAAGAAAAGATTAAAGTTATAAAAAGCTTTTAAATTATTGATAATTTTATTTATATTCTGGCTTGAAATAATTGAAATAGTTTTAGAAAATTTAATATTTATTGTTATAAAAATTTTATTTGAATTATCAAATAGTTTAGATAATTTTTTTTAAATAAGTTTTTTATATATCTTGTATAACTTTCTTAAAATAAAAATAATAAAAACATTAAATCCATATTCAAGTAGCTAGGTAATATACAGAGGGTATACATATTATTGTGGATATTTTTTATTATACAATAAAATAAATTAATAAGTAAAAAAATTTTTTATTATACTAAGTAAATATTTTTATAATATGTTAAAGTATATTATATTAAAATTTCATGTAATTGTAATGATTTACTTGGAATTTATAATCAAAAAACCTTTGTGTTACAAATTACAATCAAACTAAAATTACAAATCGAATGAAAATCTTTTTTTAAAAAAAAAACTTAAAGCTAAAATATACATGTATATATATATTTTAAAAAAAAAAATTCAAGCCAATATCAAGTCTTAGTATTTTGTAAGGCCTCCGTCAGTAGCAATGCAAGCTGCAATATGATCTGGCATACTATCCACTAATTGGTGGCAAATTTCTGGTGAAATGTCTCACCAGGCTTGTTTAACAAGAATTTCGAGATCAATAAGATTACTAGACTTTGGTTTGTGACATACAGACATCTTGACCTCATGCCAGAGGTTCTCGATAGGATTCAGATCAGGGCTCTGGACAGGCCAGTCTAATACCCTGATCTTGTGATCTTCAAAAAATATAGTGGCAATTTTCGAAACATGGGATCTCGCGTTGTCTTGCTGAAATAAAGGACGATCATAATCCGCATTTCTCGGATATTTTTTTAAGGTGGATATGACATATTTGTGCAAAATCCCAACATATGAAGCCCCAGTAACATTATTAATTAATGGAACTAGAGGGTCAGTTCCGTGTCAAGAGAAGCAGCCCCAGAACATACGGCTAGGGCTTCGTTTAACGGTACAGCTTAGGCATTCAGCATCCCATTCCTTATGCGATTTATGCCAAATTCAGGAAAGAACTTGCTGAAAAAGTTGAATAGATGTTTTATCTAACCAAAGAATACATCTGAAGTATCGGGTGGTCCAATCCCTATAAGTAAGACACCAAATAAGCCTGTTCAATGCATTAATAGTAGAGATTAGTGGTTTCAGGTATACAATGCAAGACCTTAAATTTTCTTTTTTTAGGACGCGACAGATAGTATTTTTTGATACATGGAGTTTGGTTTGAGCAATGAAAGTAGTGGCAACTTGGGTGGCATTTAAATAATGGTTTCTATTAGTCACAAAAGTTTTAAGGGCAGAATGGTCAGAAGCAATAAGGAGCGGTGAACGTCCAGGACGTTTTCTTTACAGTTCAGTGGTTTCCACTTTACGATACTTACCTATAATATTTCTTACAGAAAACTTCTTACAGCCAACATTAGCAGCGATGGCATAATACGAGTCATCTCTCAGGTAACTATGGATAATAGCTCCTTTTTATGTAACAGTCAAATTTTTTTCACTATCTATTAAATTTGATTCTTGTTTTTTTAGCCAAAAAAAGGTAAAAATGTAATTTTTTTTATATAAAAAATTCAAAAAAATTATAATACAAATTAATATATTTTCATTTATATTTTATTAAAAAAAAATAAAAAAAAAATAATTAATTAATTAAATAAATAATTATTTAATTATATACTTATAGTTTCTTGATTTTCAGTTTGATAATAATTTGTGTCTTTAAAGTTTTTTATCATAGATTTTGAGTGAATCATTATAATTATTTGAAATTTAAATATAATATGCTTTATAATATATAATTTTAATTTTGTTATAATAAAATTAATTTTTTTTATTAAAAAAAATTTTTATTGTATAATAAAAAGTGTCTACAATAATATGGATACTCTCTGTATTAAGCCAGTTATTAAATATAATAAATAACAAATTTCTTTTATATTGTTTTTCAAAAAGAATATAATACTTAATTATAAAACTTTAATTACTTAAATTTTAATCAAATCAAATAATTTATAATAAAATTAATAGTATGTACAATAATTATTTATTTTAATTTGCATATATAGTAAAATAGTAATTAAAATAACAAAAAAAAATTTTATAATATAATTAATAGTTTGGTTTAATAAAATTAAATTTCAACTTTTTGAAACTTAAATATATAAATATTGCTAAAAAAAATATTTAAATCTTTAAAGAAACAGCATATAATTCTTATAATTAAATTTAATAAAAATATTATTAATATATAAAGATGTGTTATTTACTATAGTATAGAATATATATTAAAGATTGAGAAAAATCTCAATACTAAACTTTATAGATAAATTTTAAAGAAAGAATTAATATATTTATTAAGATATCATAATTTAGCTTCTAAAGATATTATATTTTAATATGATAATAATTCTAAACATATGGCAAAAGTAGTTTAAAAATAGTTAAAAAATAATAAAATTAAAATTATTTTTTGATTATTAAATTTACAAATTTAAATTCAACAAAAAACATTTAAAATAATATAAAAAGAAATTAATAATTTCAAGATTAATATTAAGAATAAAAAAATTTTCTGGAATAATTTAATGGAAATTTGAAATGAAACATCTGAAAATACTTGTAAGGAATATATAGAAACAATATCTAAAAGAATTAATGATGTTATTAAGGCTAAAGGTAACCATACAAGATAGTAATAGAAATAAAATATATTTTATGTTTTTTTTTCAAAAATAATGCAACAGTAAATTATTAAAAATTCATTGTAAAATTTTTTATTAATTTAATATCTATTTTAGTTTATACTTTAATTATGCAATTTTGTATACTATCTATACTAAAAATTCGATTTAATCTACTTAAAATTTTAGCGATTAAAGATCATCGATCAGGTGTCGCGTTCTTTGCGGGAGACGGTGTATCATCTGATGTTAAAGTTAAGCATCTATTAGAAACTGGCAAACTAGAAGGTGGAAGAAGAAGGGCTACTGATCGCAACTGGTCTCCTGAAATTTTTACGATTGAATCATTTTCAAGAAAAAATAACCAGCCAGTTCTTTACAAGTTATGTGATGGTCCGAGACGTCCATTCGCGAGAGAAGAGCTTCAAATTGTAAAGGATGTGCAAATCCCTCCTAGGTGGGTATTGGGAGATAACCAAATACATACAAGGCACTTTTTATAAATGTTTTTAAATCAATGACGCAATAGGGAATTGTACAATAATAAGAATCACTCCTTCTCTGTAACATAATGCCTTCTTTTTCCAATCACTCCAAATTTGTGCATCTAGATTTATCTGTCCTTGCGGATAAAAAAAAGGCACGACTTGGTAATGTTGAGTACTATTGTATTCGAAGGCCAAACCTAGTTGTTCATTGTATCCATCAAGATGTAATCCTTCCAAGAATTTAGGTTTTCGGAGCGGAGATTTTTTATGTAATAAATCTTCAAAAATATACAGGCATGTTCTTTTCGGTACATTGGGCAAATGTTGCATCATCTATAATTCTGTTTCATATTTTTATATGGTGCCTCCCATTAATGATTTTTCTTACATGCCCATAAATATGTATTAGGACTAACTTTAGCCAAACATTTTCCTTCCCGCCTCTGGGCATACGCCAAGGCTTTAGTGTCAACTTCGCCTTGCATTTTATAGGTACAATAGAATATCACGTACAGAAATTTATGGTAGTGAGTGGGCAGAATTTCAAAAAATAGACCATTATATTAATATCATAATATTACCCGAGAAATCTACTAGCGGGAGATCTGCTAGAAAACTCCGATCAAAAATGCACATGACACCAGAAAGAAAAAATCACATGTTTTTGGCGAAATTTTACCAAGAAAAAAAAAACAATAAAGCTCAGTAATACGTTGTTTCAATGAATTGGTCTTGCCGAAATCATCTATTTTAAATGGCATGTTTGCGTAATATTAGTATAGTACTGTATTATTCATAAAATGCACATAATTTTTCCTAACGGTCCGTAAGCAAGAATTTTTATTATAAATTCAAATGATATTTCTATGCTAAATACATGGAAAATATTTACACCATTTATTATATGGGACGTGGAAATGGTAGTACTTGGGTTAACATTTCGGGACGGATGAGAGGTGGCTTGTTCAAAGTGAATAGTAAGCGTAAGAGCGATTTTACCTTCCGTGTTGATTTCGTTAGAGGAATTTCAGCATGATCAATATGAAAATAGCGAGGCAAATTACCCGCGTCATTTACCAGAATATTCAATATATATATACTCTCCAGCAACCTGAACCCCTACAATCTCAAATTGGTTGCTAAGTGGCCTGCACACCAAATTAACAAGACTAATACCATCGAGTGTCTCTCGCCACAATTTTACTTCATCGTTAGCTTTCTTTGTATCATTACTAATGATACGGGAGCACTCCGCATATGTAAGTTCATTGATTTTACCTCTATGTTTTATTTATTAATAGTGACTATATTGTACATTTGTGAAGGAACAAAAGAAAAATATATCACAACCTAAGGGATTTGTGTGGGTGTTAATACCTTGACTTTCATTAGGACCGGAGGATTAGAATATCAATTCCTAAAAAATATTGCCATAAAATCGTGTTTTTTTATAAAATAATATACGTAGCTAGCAAATAATAGTTGTAATTATTCTAACTAATCTAAATTTTTTTGATCATCCAATCCATCAAAGATTGGCTGGCTAAAAAATTGAGTTAAAATTTGTTTTGCTTTATATATGAATATTTCTTCTTCACTCATAGTATCATAAAAATCTTCCATCGGAACCACATCGGAACTTACGTTAGAAGTTGTAATAACATGCCTAAGCTTCTGTCTTTTTGGTAATGGTTCTTCGGAGGTGCTTGATGCTATATTCATTTCAGTGCTTTCTTGTGTTGTCTGTGCGAGTCCAGATGATTTATTCGTCAATTCAGTCGTATCCATTTCAGTGCTTTCTTGTGTCGCCGGTGTGGGTCCAGATGATTCCAATTTATTAATTCGTCGTTTGTCAACTTAAGATTGTATCGTATCAATGCAACAGAGTTAGCTCTAGAAAGAGTAAGCCTCATGATAACTTTTCCTTTAATCCAAAAAAAACGCCAGTCGTCTATCAGATCGGTTAACACAGCCAACACTGGATGTATCGATTTTAAATCTGCGGAGATTAGCTCCGCCATGGTTCGAAATGTATGTTCCTTATTGACAGCCTTTTTTAACTCAAAGAGGACTCGGATATGTTTCTTTTGTGCTTGAGAAGCAATAGAATACCTATCCACTATAACCAAGTCTGTTGTTCCGGAAAGTTTTATTGGTAGGATATCAGTATTTGTACTAAGAAAACTATCATCACCAGTTGGATCATAGAGTCCGAGTGTTCGAATTGGAAGTCTGAGTATTTTCGTGAGATGAGGTCTGTACTCTGTACCTATCACTTTGTGATCTTTCTATGGCATCCGTCCATCCGAAAGCATCAATCGTCTCATTTCTCAAATCTAAATCGAGGTTGGAAATTCCATTTCACGTGTTGTCGCTCGGTAATCAATTCTTGAACTTTCGTCCAATATCCTTCGGTAACGCCTAATATGTGTATTGAAGATTTTTCTCTCTTTATATCTTCAACATTTTTATCAAGCTTATCAAGTCTAGCAATAATTACATCATCGTTTCTCCTAGCTGAAAAGTAAATGGTTAAAAAGACAAAAAAACGTTACTATTCGAATTATTGCAGTTTTATTCTTCAACTTGGCGCTCAAAAAGATAATTATCCATAAGATTATTGGCAGCAACATCAGACACACAAACAATAACGTAAATATGTTTGTTAGCGGATGCGGGAAATTTTCTTCAATTGTATCCATGAGACTCAACACTTGACCACCCAAATCATTCACAACGTTGGCACCTCAATTTCCAAGAGCGGTTCGTTGGGGGTTTTGCGTATTAAGATCAATATCGACTTGATACAAAGTGAGATCAGGAAAATCAATGTTGGCAAAAGCATTCTTCTTTTTAATTAAGATAGCATCTTTGAACTCGTCAACGGTCGTATTCTTATCATATTTAATCCCGAATGCATAAGTTTCTGGATCCCGTGGACTAAACAGTAAAGTGATACCTTTTTAGGTGACATGGTGATGCAAAAACACGGCCATCATTTATCATTGATTGTAAAATATCAAAATCGATGTCATAAAAAAAGTGCCACCTACGGAAAAATCCATGATAAAGTATAAGTGGCACGTATGATATTATTTTCGCTTAGAACTTTAACATACATGTAATAAAATAAATGAATATATGCGCATGTTAGAGATGTTTATATTTATATTTATTTTAGTTCTTAACTTTTTTTTTTTTAGCATAGGTAAACACCATTTCTTTATTTATTCATATATTTGAAAAGAAACAACATCTCTTATATGTGGTTTGCAGTAAGTTAAATGTTGACTTGTTTACAGTAATCATTTGATTTTTACTAGAAAAGAAATTTTAAAATTAGTATACTAGTTAAATAATACTGAACAGCTGTGAACACTTAGAATTTTTTTTAGAAAGTAAGTTGTAGTAATTAGAAAAATACATGCTGAATAATTGAAATCGCTTTGGATAAATGTTTTTGCAATTAGTGTTGGGATGTCAATTGCCATGTTGTTAAAGAAAAAAGTTAAGTCAGTATGTCATAAAAAGGGAAATTAACTTTGATATATTAATGTTATAATTATTGTTACTATTTGTTTTCTTTTTTGCTTTGTTTTATTTGATACTTGTGAATAGCAAGATATTTTTCATGTTATAATAAGATTTTTAAATAAAATTATAAGATAATATAAAGCTTCAATAGATACTTTGATTTAATTATAGATATCAAATACTGAGAATATATTGGTTGTAATTTTATATGTTAGTTTTATTATCTGTTATGTATTAAATATCAGATAGTTATTACTATTTGAATGAAATATGATTATTATTAGTTTATTAACAATAGTATTTATTTATTTATTTATAGCATGTATAGTATAGATTAGATGGTTTAAAAAATCTAAACAGTTTACAAGGCCCAAAAGATTTACAAGGTTATATAATTTATAAAATTATAATATTGCAACACATAAATTAAGTAACTTATAATAAAAAACATTATATAAATAACTGCTGTTTATATAATTTTTTCTGGTTTTTAAAAAGTTTTCAAATAACTCATCCTTGTAATCATTTGATTTTTCTTAGTTTTAAAAGGCTTTAGAATAACTTATTCTTGTAATCATTTGATTTTTGGATTTGTATCTTAATAAATATTGTTATTTTATTAAATACTTTTTAATTATAATAATTTTTAAAAAATTTTTTTATTTTTTATAATATTTAAATGAATTTTTTTTTTGTAAATAAACATTATTATTTTATTAATTATATAAAATATAGAAATTTTATATACTGTATATACTGTATAAAGTAACAATATCTTTTATATAACATAAGTTAATAAGTTTAATACTAATCTTTTTATATAATTCAATTAAGCAATAAAAAATTAAATATTAAAACCTAAATACAACAAGAAAAAATATTAGTAGCTATAATTAATTACTTAAAGTTATTAGTATAAAAATAATTAAGATCAAATATTAAGTTTATAATATAATAAAATAATAAAATTGTTATTTATAAATTTATCTATTATAAGCATTAAAAAGTCTATAACTGTTTTTATTAATTTAGTATTTGAATTTAATAATTGTTAAATTTTAATTGAAAAGCTCTTGCAAGTTTAATAAATCTAATAATTGTTAATATTTGATTAAAAAACTTTTGTAAGTTTAATAAAAATTTTAATTTCATATTATTCTTATAAAGAAAATAATAAAAACAATATTATATCTTGGTTTCTTTACTAAGTCATAAAAAAAAATAAAAGTTTTTGATATTATTATTATTCAATTATTAATATCAATTACAATAAATATTTTATTAATAAATTTATTAATAGTTTAATTATTTGTTAAATATATTTAACTGGTATATTGTTTTAACTTAAACATATTATAATATAAAGATTCTAATAATTCTTTTTGATTCTGTATTCAATTTTCAAGTTTATATTAAATTTAATAATTGAAATATATCTTACTATCATTTTTAATAATATT